CTGATTTTTTGATTTATTGTAGAGATGAGGTCTCACTGCCCAGGCAGGTCTCGAACCCACCGGCTCAGGCAATCCACTCACCTCAGCATCCCAAAGGTGCGGGATTACAGGCTGAGCCACCGAGCCCGGCTCAAGATCTCTTTTTCTAAGGTCCTAGAGCATAGTAGAAAAGGAAAAGTTGGCACAGCGGTGTGTGCCTGTAGTCCCAGCTACTCAGGAGGCTGCATAGGTGTTTAAGTCCAGCATAGGCAACATAGTGAGGCCCTGTCTCTTAAAAAATGAAAGACATGGTCATGAACCCCAATACTGTATATACACCAAGACTTTTATCAAAGGCTGTTGTTGACTGGTTCTTTACTCTCCACCTGCTGGCTAAGCGGAAAGTGGTAGGTTATAGTAGAGGAAAATCAGAACCAGGACAAAAGAGAAAATATTTGATTTACTTTTAGTTAAGATAAATGCTCACACCCCGCTCCACAAGATTTTTCCGTCAGAAGATGTGGTGTGGGTGAGAGTTGCAAAGAAAGTTTGCTAAGGCTTTAACCTCTTTCCTTCTTGATGGTATCTCCCAACAATGGAAAGGTGTTTCTTCCTGAAAGTCTGGGAATGTTTCTGAATGTAGGGACCAACTAGTACCTGCTTCTCATGTGGTGTTGCAAAGTGGCAGAAAACACGGCAAGTTGGAAGGGGGCAAGATCTTCTCTGCCTTAGCTTTGTTTTCCCTTGGATTTGAAGTTTGCCTTGTAAGGGATTCCTGGAGTCCTGAGGCCTAATAAACCCCAAACTGTAACTGCGTGCATGCACCTGCTTATTTGCACTCTTCAAGATGCTGCACAGTAGTGAGAACAACTCTAGAAGTATTCATGGGTAGGATGCTCAGATGGGCACCAACAGATCATTTAGTGTGCTACATAGCAGAGCCAGCATCTGACTCTGCTTGATTGAGACACCAAACTGTGCCAACCTCAAAAGTTAAATTCTGTTAGTCATGGAAGGGAAACAAAACCAGGCTGAGAAGAGGATTGCTCCCTTTGAATCCTGCAGAAGGCACCACCTGCATATCAGTGTGCCAACCAGAAAGTAGAGTGGAGGGACAGAGCAGGCCACACCATTTCCTTCCGGTTTGATGTAAATGTTTCTGATCCAAGCGAGGCCCAGGATAGGAGAAAAGGCTTTGAACTCCAACATGACTGTGACAGATGGGGATGAATTCTGAATCTGACTGACAAATTGTCAGATTGTTCTGATTTTGCCAGAATGGAATAAAGTAGCCAGTCAGCTCTAAGCTGACTGAGACCTCAAAAGCAACATTGATATCAGTTTAAATACAAATGTAGTACAATTTTGCATTCACCCAGCTGGCAATTTTTTAATATATACCCCTCACATATGTGCAAGCAAATGCTGTAAGTAGGTCAAAGAGTAAATTCATTAATGACTTTAGTAACTATAGAGGGACAGTCACTGATGGAGTCTTGAGAATAATCTCCTGCTTTCTGGTCAGGTTACCAAGAGAAAACTAAGACTCAGGAATAATAATAGTTTTTTCTAAGAAAATGTAGCAGGGTAAGTGGCAGATTTGGGTCTAGAACATGCATTCTCAAAGGAGGTAAAATCTCGTTCTTGAGGAATGAAAAAACTCTTTCTCTTTTTGCATATAATGCACAGATATACATACAGTTCATGTGCCAGTATATCTGTGGTATTAAAATTTCATGGGGGAAGGTAATCAGGAAAAAATATTTAAAATTAATCTAGCCGGGGTCGGTGGCTCAGCCTGTAGTCTCGCGCCTTTGGGAGGTGAGGTGAGTGGATTGCCTGAGCCTGTGGTTTCCAGACTGCCTGGGCAACTTGGCGAGACCTCATCTCTACAATAAATCAAAAAATTAGCCGGGTGTGGTAGTGCTCGCCTGTAGTTCCAGTTACTTGGAAGGTTGAGGTGGAAGGATTGCCAGAGCCCAAAGAGTTGAGGCTGTGGTGGCTGGGAGTGTGCCACTGCCCTCCAGCCTGGGCGACAGAGTGAGACTCCAACTCAAAAAAAAAAAAAATTAATCTTTAGGGAAGCAGTCATGAAAAAGAGCTTGAGGCTGGGTCTGGTGACTAGTGTCTGTAATCCCAGCACTTTGGGAGGCTGAAGCAGGAGGATTGCTTGAACCCAGGAGTTTAAGACCAGCCTGGGCAACATAGCGAAACTCTTGTCTCTACCAAAAAAAAAAAAAAAAAAAAAAAGAAAAAGAAAAAAGGAAAAAGAAAAAAAGGTCGAGAAACACAATCTAGACTTTTGTGATTCACAGTGGTCCACTCTGCTGGCAGGTTCAGCAAGAAAATTTTTGGTGTTTTCCTCTATGATCCTATCAGTAAGTTATTTGAGGTGATTTTTATAATCTTGAAGGAAACCAAAATATTTCACCCTGTAATATATTTCCTTGACATACTGTGGAAGGGGGCTTAAAAAGACATCTACAATGTCAAAAATTAGGCTAAACATGTACTCAGCCTTTGCACAGTTAAAAAGTTCCCTTCCTGGAAACTGGCAACAGCACCTGCTGGCTAGGTTAAACTGTTTAACAGCTTTTTTTTCACTTCTGTGACTCTGCTAGCATTGCTTGAATGGTACCTAGGCCTCCAGGATGTTGCGGTTTGGCCCACTTGGAAAGTCCCAATGTGGTTTTCCCCCATTCAAGCAAGCCTCTAAAGCTAATGGACGCCCCTTGCTGTGGGACTGTTATGTCCAGCAGGCAAGTGGCTGCTGGCCCGGCTGTTGGCTAATAAAAACCTCTCCTTTTTATAACTTGTACTTTTGGTTTGGTGTCTGTGAATTAAGCGCTCAGTCCCTATTTCATTTGGGGGCTCGCCCAGGAGATCTGAGCGCTTAATCCCCAGCCCCAGTCACCAGCTGACCTTGTGGGTCTGCATACCCGCGAACCTC